TATAATGCATTTAGACTGCAGCTGCATGCGTCAAGCTGCATTCGAGCTGCACATCGAATGACGCAGTGCTGAAAACTGAAATGGAAAACATGCATATGGAAATGCTGTTGGCCAAATATTTATGTGCATATTGATGCCCTTAGAAAGAGTACCGAAAAGGCCATTTGATGGACCAAAATATATGAACATAGTTAGCCTTCTGCTGGAGTGCATTTATCTGAGCAAGTGGCTTCAAATACAGTGGCTTAACATAATGTAAGTGGAGGTTAGGCAGAAAGGCAAATGGGAATTTACAGCTATATACTAGATCCCTAACAGAAGATGAAGAAAGTGAAACTTAACAGTGGCTTTACAAATTGCAAACGGAGGTTAAACAGAAAGTGACCCTTAAAAGAAAGTGAGGAAACTTAACTGAGGCCTAAAATATGTAAAAAAAAAGCTAAACATAGTGTAAATACAAGCTAAGCAAAAGTAAACAAGGTATCCTAAAAAGTACCCCTAAGAGAATCAAAGGTAAAGCCAGTTATTGACAGTGTTTCAATAGTGTCCTTTAAGTAGTTAAACAGCGACTTAACTAGTAGGTGCTTTATAAATGTCAATAAGTGTTTTAATAAAACAATTCGTTTTAATAAAGGTTTAAAAGCTGTTGGTAGCCCAACTAATCACAGTTTCCTCTTAAAGGTAGCTTAAAGAGAGTAAGAAATGAATAAAGGCTGAAATCTTTCCATTAACAAAGGCCTTACATATTTTAAGCTATCCCTAAGTGAGGAGAAAAGTTTCTAAAGCCGAGCTTAAAAGATATTCAATTGAAACTTAACAGTCCGCCCTTATATATTTTAAACTTTCAAACGGAAGTACCTACTCTAATAAATCCAAAAGATTCTAAATGGGGGACCACAACGGAGGCTTTACGAAGGGTTTAAAGATACAACAGGATATCTAGCGCTTGACAGAGACTTTTGTAAAGTTGCAAACGTTGGCATCCCAATCAAATGTGCTTAACATAGACCTTAACATATGTAAAATAGAGATCCTCTGAAAACTAAAGAATTCTCAACACAAGTCTCACTGAAGCTAGACAGAGTTCAATATTTCTAGACTAATGCTTGCGATATACAATTAGGTTACGAAAGCTTTTAAACAAAATAAATTTTTCCCCCTTTTAGTACCGGTGACCATAAGGCACTTCCACATAATTCCTATGTAGTATACATTTTCTAAGAGTTCTCTAGATTTACGTCGAATTTTTTATAGATGTATTTTAAGCCAATTCTGCAAACCTTTTTTGGCCTTATTTTTTCTGGTGAAGTACACAATTTTAAACGCAAAAGTAAAGCATATTTCGCATAGTTTTTCACTTAATTATTTCTCCACTTCGTTTACTGCAAAAAATACTCAACACCCGACCATGGCCCATAAATTTCCCACGCAGTTGATTTTTGAGACCAGAGGAAAATGTAAGGCAAATACTTTGCTTTTTGGTCGCTGTTCAAGCAATAGAAGTAAATATTTGTTTTATGCACACTCAGCTCGAACTGTCTCAGGCAGTGTAACTGTGCACACAAAAATACATAGATAGATAGATAGATATATATGTATCTTAACTTATCGTTCGATATTGTCTTGCGCAATTTCTTTTAATTTCTTCGGCACGATTGCGCAGTTAAGTTTTCGAATTCTCATTAGACTAAGTTGCCAGCCCACACAGCTGAAGAGCTAGACCGACTCTGACAGACATCAGGGCCGCACCACAACCCGTCCCGCTTGTCTCTCAAAAGTCTCAGTCAGCCCCAACCGTGCCTCGCCCAAAAACCAATGTCGTAACCACAAAAACTTTGCAGCTCCCCAAGACTGAGATGGCAATACGTATTTTGAGCTTGAGACAAAAACTAATGCATATGTTTAGGCATTTTAATTTATATACGACAACCCACCCACACAAACACACACACACACACACACGCACACAGTCAGTCAACTTCTAAGAAAGCTCACACATGCACAACTAACCCCAACCCTTGGCATGCCACCCAACCCCCGAACCCCTCTGCCACCTCTGCCCCCTCTACCGCTTCTGCTGCCGGCGTCGTTGATAAAAGCAACTTCCATTTCATTTAAACTACAATTTCCTTGACAGCGCACAGAGGCAACCGCTCAGCTCAGTTCAGTTCAGTTCAGTTTAGCTAGGGGTTGGGGCTTGGTCTAGGGGTTGGCAACCCTTTCACGCACTTATGAGTTAAACGCAAATTTTCTTAGCTGCCTTTTAGGCGCTCCGCCTCGTTGCAGAGCCTGAGCTCGTCTGCACAAATATGTCATCGCCAGTTGGCAGGCACGGGCACACACACACACACACACACACACACACGCACACACACACTTGAGTCGTTGGTAATTCATTATGCGTGTGCTTAGAGGCTTTTTCGGCATTGTAGTGCTGCGTAGTTGTATTCAAAGACTGCTCTTTGGCGTACCAGACAATAACAACAACAACAACATCACACACCCCAAACTTAACCCCGTCATACACCACCCCCAAGCAACCCCCCCCCCCCCCTCCCTTACTAGCCTCCTTTGCATTGAACTTGTATTTTAGCACGCCCTCGCCCCACCCACTTGCCAATTGAAGCCTCTTGCCTTTTGCTTTTCTTGCAAGATGCCACAGCCCGCATATTTCTGTTGTTAGACTTAGCAACCAGTTAGGCTTGTGTGTGTGTGCATACTTTTAGGCGCCACTGAAAAAGGGCTACAGCTTGTCCCACCCATCAAAAACTTCAAAAGCAACTACGCTGCCACTCTCAAGCATTTTGTGGCAATGGAAATAAATGCTCGGATTTATGTCTAACCTGTGTGTGTGTGGTGTCTGTGTGTGCGCGTGTGTGTCCCTTGCAGGTGTTACTCATACGCCAAGTGGGCTGACAGCTCACAACAAATTGCTTAGCACATCGCGTCCTCCTGCCAAAGTCAAGGTTGCCCTAGGATGAGCTCAGCAGCTTAAGTCAATGCCAGTCTCTGAAGTTGAGCCAACTCCTAAGCCAAAAACTTGCACATAACCCAAGCACACACGCACACGCACACACACATATTGACTGAGTCCAAGCTGTGCGCTTGGGCTCAACGAAGACTCCCGACGGAGTTGCTCAACTACACAAAAATGTCAGTCGTTTGGTTCCTTTTGCGAGATTTCACCACCCAACTCAAAGCCTGCTAGCAGTCCGGCCTGCTCTCGGGTGGCTGGCCATTGACTTTGTCCACCCACTTCCCCTACCCAGCCCACCGCCCACCCTAGCTCCCCAGTTGCTTTTCTTGTACCGTTTTAATTAATGGAAAATTTGTACGTTTTCTTCTTATTCATGTGGTCGTTTCTTCAATGCCTCAAGCAAAGGGTAACTCGAACTAAAAGAAATTGCCAGCTAGCATTGAATACGTAGCTTAACCCCAAAACCCTCCGACACACCCAAAAAACCCTAACCCCTAAGTGCAAGTCCAGCCAGTTTGGCCTCATGTTGCGCATCTCTTCTACTCTGTTGGCTATTTTCGTTTGACAGTGGACAAGATCCAAATTGCCATTTGGTTTTCTCTTGGCTTGATTACAAAATTGACTTGGGAGCTGTTGCTCTAAGTAAGTTGCATCACTTTTCGTTTACTTGACAATTTTTGTTTGCTCTGCCTTCAATTCAGTAGATCTTTTAAATGGTAAAGGAACTGTAGTTTGTTCCTGATTTATCTATACCTGTCTTTGAATTACAATAGCTTTAATTGGGTCGAAAGTAAATGCAAGTGGGGGAAATTCTTATTTAAAAAAATTAGTGCAGAGGAGAATTAATGGACCCTTGTTGCCTACGAGCGAGATGTCAGTGGTTCGAACTCAGCAACAATTTTTAGTTTTTATATTTGTTTTCCTTTTGTCAGTATTCAGGAGAAATAATAATAAATGTAATAAGGCGCGATTAGAATACACACGTGATGCTAGTTTCGAGCGGCCTCGGCACGCATTAATTGACCCGAACGAGGCCGGGTAATTTCCTTACCTATAAAAGAAAAACATCTACCTGCATATACATCAAACAGCACCCATTAAGCATTCTTTGGGAGTTAACTTTTTAGATAGCTCATGGCTTTGCCTGCAGGATTTGTAAATCCCTTCATGATTATACCCCCCATGGAATATTCGACTTATACAGCTACTCTGAGTTAAAAGAAGAAGCTCTAACTCAAAGAACACACCTTATGCTAAGCATAATCAGACTCTTTGACTTGCCCAGTAGTCTAGCTACAACCGAATGTTAATTAGGCGCCGTGTTCAAACTTCATTTTCATTTGCTGTTCCTGTTACGCCCGTTCGAGCTTCCGTTTATTTTTTTTTTGTGCAATGCTTCAACTTCAACCAACATTCAACCAACCGGCCCCAAAAGCAGTCCAGCGGGCGAGCGGGCAACCACTGTCCTGCAACCACAAGCGAGCCTCAAGGATGCTGCAGGAAGCAGCTGAGGCGGGCCAACGTCTTGGAGTTGAACGAAATGTTTCATTAGAGCAATGCTGGCCACAAATGGTCGAGACCCAAAACGCACCCAAAACACACCGCGCCCTCACCTTCAAGATCCTGGCAACTAATTTGCAGCACAGCATAAAAGGAAAGCATTGAGGGAACTAAGAAAAAAAACCAATCCGTCGGATAAAAAAGAGAGCCAAGCTCGACTTTCATCTTGGGCAGGAAAAACTTTGCCGGTCTTGGCCAGCAAGTTGGGTGTCCCTGCAGGGAACGGGGGCGTCTATGAGGAGAGAGGGCGGGGATTCGCTTCTTTGACGCTTTTTGCGCATACTTTTGAATGGTCTAACGAGCTTGGGGTCTGGCCTCGAAACCTCGACTAATCATTGGGATTTGGTATATCGAACGCAGTCCCAAAACTTTGTGCGGTCATTGAAAGTTCCCAAAATTGAACTTGTACTCATCTAACATGCTCTAACCCCAACTAACCCTCATCTTCTGCTCCCTCCCACAGGAAACCATACCAGCAACACCGGCCACGAGCACCGACACCAGCAGCCTAGTTGGTGTGGGCGGCGGCGTTGGTGGCGGTGGAGGCGGCGGCGGCGGCGGTGGAGGCATTGCCGGCGCCGGCAGCGGACTGGTTGACATTGCCAGCAGCCTGGGCGGAGGCGTGACCAGCGAGTCGGAGGCCTACGCGGGTCTCATGAAGGATGCGGACAAACTGAAGCTAATGCTGCTCGCCTGGAATTATCAGAACTCGACGGCGGTGCGCAATGGCACCGAGGGACCCGACCTTAGCGTTGTAGGTGGCCTCTGGGCACAGTATCAGAACGCTTTGGCCCAAAATGCCGCAGCAGTGGCGGCGGCTAGCAGCAAAATGGACAGCTCGCTGTCGCCGGTGCCCAGACAGGATACGCATTCGCCAATGGAGGCGCAGGATGAGACAAACTCGTCGGGGCAGAAAGAGGAGGATGAGGTTTCCGAAGATGATTCCGATGACAAACTTGACGAGAAACTGGCCACCACACACGATCCCGAGCGCCTCAAGGCCTTCAATGTGAGTAATGTGCGAGAGTAAGATAGAGAAAGAGAGAAAGAGAGAGAGAGAGTCGAATGTAAAGCAAACGTTGCCAATGAAGCCGCCAAATATGGCCAAAATACCTTGAATTGTCTGTTGCTCACGACACTCTCCCCTTGCCTTGCAGATGTTCGTGCGTTTGTTTGTGGACGAGAACCTGGACCGCATCATACCCATCTCCAAGCAGCCAAAGGAAAAGATCCAAGCGATCATCGATTCGTGCGCCCGACAATTTCCCGAGTTCAGCGATCGTTCCCGCAAACGCATTCGCACCTATCTCAAGTCGTGCCGTCGCAACAAGAAAACACGAGACGGCTGGGAGAATACGGTGAGTACTGGACAGAGTTTTCTATAAATCTATATCTATATCAATACATATAGCTATATAGACTAATTAATAATAAATACTGAAACGTAGTTTAACCTTGCATAAGACACATTCTGCGGCAGATTTGCCCTTTTTCCTGGATCTCAAGCTCTGTTTTATTTTTGATTCCTTGCAGACTCGACCGACGCCCGCTCACTTGACCTCCGTGCAGGCGGAGCAAATCCTGGCCATAGCCTGTGAGAACGAATCGATGAACGCGAAGCGTATGCGCATTGGCCTAGAGCCAATTACCCATGCGGTGCCGGCGCCGGGCAGCGTTGTTGCCGCTGCAGCTGCTGCAGCAGCTGTTGCCGGCACCAGCAGCACGTCCGCGAGCAATGCCGCCACCGTCACCTGCACAGCAGCCGATGCGGCTGGATTGAGCAGCGTGGCAGCCGCAGCGCTACCATTTGTGAGCGCTGTGGGCTTTGCACGCTCCACGCCCAACTCGGAGCACGCGGACGCAGCGTTCGGCGGGGCGGCCAACATTGCCGGCGCTGGCAGTGCTGGCGGAAACAGCGCCAGCGGTGCAGCCGGCGGCGGCGGCGGCGGCACTGGTGGCATGAGCTCGGCGCGCAGCTCACCGCTGGCACTCAGCTCGAATGCCAGCGTCGGGGGCGCCAGTGTGACGGGCTTGGCGCTGGCCAACGGCGCTGGGGCATCGAATGGCGCCGGCCTGCCCTCCAGCAGTCCCTATACCACGGACTTTAGCTCGCCAACGGCGGCCTCGCCTTTTGTGGCAGCTGCTGCGGCAGCGGCTGTGGCAGCCGGACGTGCGCCCAGCTATCCCGGCTATTTTCCGGGCGTCGCTGGCCTGGGTAATGGTAAGTAAACATCTGTGAAATATTGTGTGCCATTATTTGCAATGACACCAGCTTAAAGCAGCGTTCAAATACGGGATTGAGCTTAAAAAAGAACACTAAAAGCAACATTAAAGAACATTAAAGCTGGCATTAACATGCTTGGAAAGCTGCACTAAGCTTCTTAAGCCAATTCGATAGGATCAACGAATTCTGAAAGCAGCTGAAAATAATCGAAACTAAATGCAAAATACTTTGAGTGCAGCAGTTAGCTCAGCAAAACATTTGAAAGCTCTGAGCAAACTTTTTAAATAAACAAAATGCTTTGATAAAAAACAAAGAAATTGAAAAAAAGCTACAACACAAACTGAAATCGAGCTGAAAACTTCAGCAATCAGTTATATGTTAAGCTTTAATCAAAAATATTAAGCTAAAACCTTTAGAATGTGAGCAAAAGCTCGGCTATCAGAAAACCGATGTTAGTTTGTGGCCAACCGAGAAAAGAACAATGTTCTAAAGCTAAAAGGCACTGATGGCTTTAAAATATGTTCACAATTTGACAGTTTATGCATTTAGTGTCTCACTCTAATCCAGGAACAATCCAATTTTAAGCAAGTGTCATTGAAGAATTATTATCATTTTCGCTGGTATTTAATGTAAATAAAAACTCTTGCTAATGTCTCGTTTCCTTCTTCTTGCAGTTACGCCCACCGATCTCTCCATGAAACCAACGTCGCTGAGCGCTGGCAGCGGCCTCGCCGGCGGCAGCAGCAACAACAACAACAGCAACACAGTCAGCGCGCAGCTGAGTGCCGCCAATCTGGCCACGCTGAGCAATGCCAGCAACAACAATGCGCTGGTCACCGCCACACAGCAGCTGCAGCAGCTACAGCAGCAACAGCAACAACAACAACAGCAGCAACAGCAGCAGCAGCAGCAACAACAGCAGCAGCAACAACAGCAACAACAGCAGCAGCAACAGCTGCTTGCCGCATCCGGCGACGGCAACTGCTCCCGTGTGCCGCCCATACTTCCACACAAGCTGAGCCCCAACGAGGTGACCGCCGCCCGGCAGGTCATCTCGGCGTACAGGGAGAGCGCTGCTTTTCTGCTGCGCACCGCCGACCAGGTGGAGCAGCTGCTCGTCCAGCAGCAGTAGGCGTGGCAAGGGTAAGCGCTCGTGGTGTCGGTGGCGGTGGCGGGTATTGGGGCACTCTTTCCAGACCCAAGCGACGCGTAGCGCGCGCGCGGGTTGTTCCTATTTAAATTTAAATTTAAATTGAATTACACACAGCAAAAGCAGCAACAACAACAACAGCAATAACAACAACAACAACAACAACACACAGCAACTAAGCAAATTAGAAAGCGAAAATAGTCAAAGCATAGAAGAAAAAGCAGAAAACCGAAAACAGAAAATAGTCAAAAAGTTCGTTTTAACAAACATTTTAAGTGTTTTTTCCTCCAAACTACGTACAGCATATTACAAAATATAATAAACGGTATTTAAAAACAAAATACCGAAGAAAATACCAGCAAAATACCAAAAACCAATCAGTAAATATTGCAATTATCAAAGCAGCAAATCAGTTTATTATTTTCTAGTTCAAAAGTTCGCAGCAAATATCCCATAAATATTATTTCCAAAGCTTGCCCAACTTAAATGAAGTATTAACTCACTTTTTTCAAGAAACTGCTTCCAACTTCACCCAATTAATGCGAGCGCTTGAACTAAAAAATAATTAAACGGATTTCAATTAAAACAAAAAACAAAAACAAATAAATAAGAAATCAGCAACAAATTAACTTACTACAGTGTCTACTAAAAGTAAAACTACAATAGCCACACCCAGCACACCCAAAAATATAAAAAAACAAAAAAAAACACACACACACACACAAACACACACACTCGCATTGCGTTCAAGTTTTTGTTGAGATTTTAGAAAAAGATGATTATTAAAATTTTAATGCTCTACGCGGAGCTGCAATTTCCGGCCCAGTTCGAAGTGCGCGATTTGTTAAAAAATAAAACATTAAAAGTAAATATAACATTGTATGTAATTAAGTTGAGGTATTGTTGTAAATTTTAAAGCGTATCAGAAGAGAGAAAAAAAAACAGACATTTTAAGGCAACAAACACGACAAAAAAAGAAAAGACATTATTTAAATATATGGGAAACTAAGAGAAAACACAGGGTGATACTTTCAGAAATTATTACAAAAAAAAAACTAAGCTAAAAATTAAATAAAAACAATTAAATATGTGTATAAAAAATATAAGGCAAAGGCATGGCATAGACGTTGGTATATGTGTATTTAAAATATATATATATATAAAAAAAAAACACAAAAAAAAAGAAAATCGAATGAGTGTATTTCCTATTAAATATTTAAATTTAACTTTTAGCTTTTTAGTTTCTTTTTACAATAATTTCATTAAGCGGACTTTTCTTTGACATTTTTTCTGTAGCAATGTTGAATTTTTGATTATTTTCTTCTAATTTGTTTAAATTTTAATATGCATACGAAATACGAAATAAAATATTTAAATACAAAATAGCCATTAATGTTTTTTGCAACTATAAATGTGCATGTAAAAATAAACATTACGAAAATTAAAAATTAAATTTAAAAAAAGAAACAAAACATTCAAAAATCGAACGAGGCGCGAATCGGTTAAGATCGTATGAAAAAACCGCTATGCAAAGCAAATTATAGAATTTAATAATATAAATCAAATGCAAAAGGAAACGGTATTTAATCAACAAATAAATGAATATTAATTATACGAAACGATGCGAATTCAGTTCACATCATTTTTGCAAGCCAGGCAAAACGATAATTATAATAACGAAATAATAACGAAAATTTATTAACTATAATAATTATGGATTGGTATTTGCATAGAAAAGTAAACTAATTAAAATGTCCGAGAACGCAAACGAAAAAAGAAAACACAAAAACCAAACCAAAACATTTTAAAAGTCGACTTAATAAAGAATTTATGAGAATTATATGTATATTAACCACTTGTTGCATTTATTAAATACTTCCTTAAGTGCAGCAATAATTGCCATAAAACTGTACCGCGTAGCAGCGGCGCAAACCTTTTCACTCTGTAGTTTGTTTCTGTTGTCCAATTGGAAACTGTTCCGTTTTCATTGACCATAAACTTCACGTGCAGTTCTCAGAAAACAATGCTGTTTATTAACCGATTCAATTTAGCTCAGTGGCACCTCAACTGTTTAACAAATTAACATTTATTGAACCAAGCACAGTTATCTCATAACCATTTTCTCACTATGATTCAGCATATGCGCAAAACCAGCACAGTCTGCTTCAAACTGCTTATCCGTTGTTCCTATATTGAACTGCCCTTCCAAAACTTTGTTTTCATAGGCTCAGCATATGCACAAGCCCATAACACAGTCAACCCCAAACTGCACTTCCAATCGTCCTCATATTAAGCTTAACACAGTCATTTCAAAACCGTATGTTTATAGCTTATGCACAAACCTGCCATACCATATCATTCTATTTCAGCATGTACACAAACCAGACGTCTAATACTTAAATGCAAATTTACGTATTTAATATTTTAGTTTATATTTATTAATTATATAAAACAAATAACGCTTTGCATCGACTTAATTACGAAACTTATTTTAAAAAATTTTCGATTGGATTTCACGACCAAACAATAAATTAGATATAAAAATTCTTAATATTAACCCATTTTTTCGCTGCTCTTTTTTTTCATTTTAAAAACATTCCTTTTTACACATCTTTAAAATTGTTTTCTCTTTCACTTAAATTAAACTATTTCTATTTTTAATGACTGTTTATGAAAGCGAAAGAAAAAATACAGAAAATACATTAATGGAAGCACCAAACATTTTTTTACACTCATTTCCCATTTTCTGCTTATTTCGTTTGTTTTTGTTTTTGTTGTTGTTTTTTTTTTGTGCACCAATTCTCTATATGATCGCGATTTCTGTGGCAAGATTTCACAAACAATTTGCTGCGCATGTGTTTAATTATGAAAAAAATCCCCCCTAAAGTTTGGTCGACGCAATCAAAAATTAACTTAACCACTAACCACTGCAATAACAAGGCCCACTCTCAAAGCGTGGCCGATCGCAGACTCAAGTCCTTCACGCAAGGACTCCATCCAAAGCATGGATCACCCCATTGGTGGCTGGTATATTCGAGGTGACCATCTGGGCATCATTCACTTTGATCTTGCCGGCGGAGGTCTTTTGCAGCACAACTGTTTTGCCCGTGAACAGCGAATCCTTAACCTGATAGAAGCGCATGCCGGCCGAGAAGAGTGCACCAGGCACAATATGCTTCATGGCGAACTCTTCGGCGGCCTCCTTGTCCGTATAGAGCTTCTCCAGCGTATCGGAATCAAGTTCGCTGAAGCTCTTATCCACCGGTGCGAATACTGTGTACGTCTTGACGCCTGGAGATAAAATTGAAACTCAATTAGTTGACATTGACCCAAAAGCCAAATCGGAATGCTGGCTCACCTTTACTCTGCAATTTCTCGGACATGCCGGAGGTGTAGAGTATTTTCAGGAAATTGGAGAATCGACCCTCGCGATCCGACTGCAACGTTTGCAGCAGATCACCCACGGGCAGCGGGAACATCACACGATCCACTGCATGGGCCACACCCTGCGGTATCTTAATGTCCTTCTTGTTCAGCACAACCATTGCTCCATTAATGGTGGTCAGCTAAAATGAAAGTTGGAACGGCGATTCAGTTTGATTTTATTGGAGCTCATACACGTATAACTGCCTGTTTTTAGAGTGTAGTATACATGAATCCAAAAACTCCATAGAATACCAATTGAATAATTATTTTTGTAAAGCTTTCAAATTACTTTTAAAGCCAATTAAACGATTCTTTTACTTGAGCTCAAGCAAACCCCTTCCGTAAAATTGAGTTGGAAAAGTTTCGGATGAAACACAATATTTTCTAACACTACAATTTGACTAAAATCTTGTTTTCTAATAGTAACGAGTAACTAACTGAACCAAAATGCATCCACCCAACTCTTATAGTTCGGGCTGAGTAATGAGCATCAGTCAGTTAATCTGCCTGATTGATTGTGAAGCAGTTCTTAACATCTAAATGAGTTCTTACAGTGACATCATTCCACTCCTGATCGTGCATATTGTACTGATTGACGCGCAGCTGAGTGCCAGCCAGGGACACGCCCGTCATCTCATCCTGCAGCGTGGCTATCTCAAAGGCGCCAGGAATGACATGATGCAAAAGCAGCTGCAAAAGAAAAACCATAGTAAGTACTCATACTAAATAGATACCGTTTAGACTAGTCCAACTTACACCACTCAGCAGTCGTGGATTGGACTGGAATTTCTCCTCGGCACGCTCGGGTCCGCCTAGCTGGACGAGCAGATTCTTGAATGCCTTGTCCGTAGGCACAAAGATGGTATAAGGACCCGTTTCGTTGAGTATGCTGTCCAGGCCGCTCTGGCGCAGATATTTAGCCATGGCAAAGAGTCCATTGCTTTTGAGTATCTGCAGCAGATCCTCACTGGGATTCGACAGCACCGAGGCGCCACCCGTAGATGCAGCCTTCTCTGTGTTCTCCGTTTCCTGCACCAAAGCGTCAGCATACTGGGGAGGTGTGTGCGGCAATAACTCCGGCGTTTGTGTTATGTCCGCCAGACGTTCCGTTACCACCGGCAAATGCGTGGATACAGGTCCGCTTAGATAGGGCGAAGGGGTGACAGGTGAGGAGTGGTAGACGGGAGCTGGCGTTGTGCGTATAAGACTAGCCGCTGCGGCGCTGGCGGTGCTAGTGCCCTCATAAATGGCTGTGAAGCGGGGCGAGCTGGTGGTGCTAGTTGTGGTTGTGGTGGTACTCGTGGTGGTGCGCGATGGATGATACTGACGATGATTGCTTGGCGTGTTGCGGGAGACAAATGGCGCTGGTGTGGTGGTCGTGCTGGTGCTAGTGGTTGCTCTGGCTGTGGTGCTGCTGGGTGGCGCGCGTGTGGTCGTGGTTTGTATAATTTTGCCGCTCTTGATCTCAACAACCTCATCGTTGGGCAAGGTCAGGCGATAAACCGAAGGCGGCAATTTAATCTCGCCGCTGCGTATGCGCTCCAGAATGCTTTCCACCTCGGCGCCCGTTTGTTTGGTCTCCTTCTCGCCGTTGGCCTTGACACCCTGTATCTTGAAGCTGCCATCGGCCTGCTCCTCGAGATAGACATAGGTGGCCTTCTTCTTGGGCGGCACTGTGGCCGGTGCTGGCGTTGTCTTGACCGAGTCAGAGCTTAGGCCCTCAATCTCATAGCCATCGGGTATGAGGCCACGCTTGGCCAGCTCCTCGAGCGTGGGCGGATCATCCGAATCGGAGGTTATGACCGCTGAGCTGGCAATGCTATTGGCGCCATTGCTAACGCCTTGAATATCACCAGCACCGCCGCCATACAAGGCCGCCAGGCTTGACAAATCGACACCGCCGGGCAGCGCTTGAGCGGGCAACTGATCCGTTTCCTCGGGATCGGGTGAGCGCAATATTTGCACCTTGCCACCACCGGGCAGTAGCAGATCCTTGCTCTTGCTGGGCGCCACATCGCTCAGTCCTAGTTTGGCGTCGGTGCCGAGTGCCTGCTGGGCCAGCAGCGCCTGCAGCTGATCCTGTGAATAGGCCTGTTGTCCCTGCACCAGATTCGGGTCCGTGGTGCGTATGACCTGCACACGCTGGCCATTGGGCAGCACCAGATCCATCTCATCGTAGGTCTTGTTGCCGGTCAGCGGTTGCTGCGGTGTCTCCGACAGCGCCGCCTTCAGCTGCTTCAGCAGATCCTCGCGTGCAATGGTCTTCACGGGCTTTTTGCTGCCCAGCTTCGTGCTGCCGAATTTGCCCAGCTCCGCTTTCACCTGCGAATATATGTTCTTCTTGGGTGTGGTGCTCGCCTCCGTGGTGGTGGTAGTGGTTGTGGTTGTTGTCGTCGTCGTCGGATGCTCCTTGTAGTACTGCTGCAGCGCGCTATTGAACTGATTGTACTCCGTGGGATGGGCAACGGGTCGGCCACGTGGCGGCTGCACATACTGCAGTTGCGGTGGATAGTTGTTGTGCTGGCTGATGATAGTCGGCAGCACGTGCTGCTTGATGGCATGCTGCTTGGCCAGGAACTCCTCGTGCTGTTGGCGCACCTTGTGCTGCGACTTCTCATACTGCTTGGCCACGAACTGCTCGTGCTTTTGTATCAGCTTCTGCTTGTACTCCTGATCGGCGGGCTGTGCCTGCGGAGCATTGTTGATGAACTGATGCTGTTGCTGTGGGAACAGGGGCTGCTGCTGCTGCTGCTGCTGTTGCTGGTAGGTCTCACGTGAGGGTTGCGCAGGGAACGGAGTGGAGGGCAGGTTGTTAAAGATTTGCGGCAGTGGCAGACCCAGCTGTGGCGTCAACTGATATTGCTGCTGCTGCTGCGGCTGTTGCTGTTGCTGCTGCTGTTTTGCCAAAGACTGTTGCTGATAGTTGAACTGGGATTGCTGCTGCGGCTGCTGCAGCGTCTGGAAGGTCGGCACGGGCGCCTGACTGGGCAGCTTCTGTGTGGTCTGCTGGCCAAACTGTTGGGCTGCTGGTTGCTGGTAAGCAAATTGCTGCTGTTGCTGCTGCTGTTGCTGATAAGCCTGAGCTGGAAAAGCCGTAGATTGCAGGCGTCCATCGGGGAAATGTTTGTGGCGTTGGGGCTGCTGGTGCTGCTGCTGCTGCGAGCTGGCAAAGTTGCGCAAATCCAAAAAGTTCTGATGATGCAGGTCAAGATTGCTGCCAGCTGAGGGCAACTGTTGCTGTTGATGCTGCTGCTGCTGCTGCTGCGGCTGCTGCTGTTGTGGCGCTTGTGGATATTGTGGCGCAGTTTGCAGTTGGTTTTGCGTGGAGCGCTGGAATTGCAGATTGTTGTGGGGTAGTTGCTGCGGCTGCTGCGGGTATTGCTGCGCGAAGCGATGTGCCTGCTGGTGGTGCTGCGGCTGCTGCTGCTGCTGTTGATGATGATGATGGTGGTGCAAGTGCTGCGGGCGCTGTTGCGCTGGTATGGGCACCTCCACGCCTGGCTGCACAAAGTTCTGTTGGTTGTATTGGTGCTGCAGATTCAGTTGACGGCGATGCGCATTCTGAAAAGGCAACGGTGGCGGCGGCTGAAATGGAGGAGGGTGTAAATTATAGTTGAGACAAAACATTCGTTATTGAGAATTTATAACATTGTTAAGCTGTGTCCGACCAACTGTTGCTATAAGAGATACTTGGTCGATTGGACCATTCTATATAAGATTTAGCTCATACTTATGTTAAACAAGTAAGAGGTTCTAGTCGGGAGTTCCCGGCTAGCATATATTCCAACACCAAATACAGCTCGCACTACGCGCTCGGTTGAAGTAATAAAGATAAATTTAAAAAAAAAATTCCCTTGGCAGGGTTCGAACTCGCAACTAACCTACCTGCCGCCGCCTACTCTACCCAACAGGAACACCAGCCAAAACAAAAATAAAAAATAGTTTCCTTGGTAGGGCTCGAGCTCACGACAGATCACACCACTTGCCATCACCTCTACTCAACATCCACACCAATCATTAAAACGCAATGAGAAAAAAAAAATCGCAATTGCAATTCTGTTGATGGAATTCGAAGCAGACGCGTATGAATGTGTGTGTGTACATAGATACAAAAATTCTTCGAATTTGCGCTAGCTGCCGCAAACACGGGTTTCTTAACCGATCTTATTGTACCGTATTCTCAAAAAGTAAATTGCATTAAAATTGTAGCTTAAATTGGTGAGCAATACAAGTTGGGTTATTAACTTGATTTATAGCTATGAAGTAGAAGCGGGAAGATGGCGATAGGTATAAAATGAATGACACTTGTATATATATACTATTCTAGAAGTAACATATCAAGTTTGGTGACTCTAGCTCTAATTATTTACTAAAATTTCTAAAAACACAGGATTTCGATATCGATTTTTATCGATTACTTGGAAGCGGGGCAAGTTATCGAATATCGGAAACATGCTCGATCTGCACGGGACCTAGGAGAAGCTACATTTAATTTCAGGTCTCTAGTTCTTATAAGTTCTGAGATCCTTGCGTTCATACATACAGACGGACGTATATACATACATATATACTTTATGGGGTCGGATATGCTTCCTTCTGCCATTATAGCCTTTATACCCATTTTCAATGGGTTCAAGGTATCAAAAAAGGTGAAAGACAAAACAACTTTCGACCGTCTTCGACAATGAACTGCAACAAAAAGACGCTTAAATTTAAAATACCCTTTGCAACAACAACAGGATTATACATTTCTTGTTACATCATTTCGCTGTTGACAATAATCCCCTAGCAAAACCAGACCTAACGCCAGCGCAAATGAAAAGTTGCACAGAAAAATTTGCCATTGACTGATCAAAAGTGGGCTGGTCCCCGCCCCACAACGGCAATCGCCTTGCAGATGTGAACCAGTTTTCGCTTTTTGTTGGCCAATGTCTGCTCCATTTTAGATGGCAATAACAAGATTAGTGCATTGGCCTGCTGGGGTCCTGCGCGTCGTCTATGAAAAGTAGTGTCAAAGTCAGTGAAAAAACCAGTCCAAGTCTTTTACTTGCCCGCAACCATATTTGTATTTTACTCAAAGCCGATCTCAACAAATATACATGAAGCGAAAGCTCGCGAATTACGCCACACGAAAGATATTTAATTGATGCGCAATCGTATTCCGTTCTTTTGCATTCCACTGCATACACACTTACATATGTATATATGGAAATGTAGCAAAACATGTAGTGAAGTCAAAGCACCGCACACACACACACTTGCAAACAAAAAGCGAAGCAAGGCAATAAAAATGGTCGCAAAGTGAATTCCGAAATTAGAAATACTCAGAGAGCGTAGAAGGTGCGCTCAAATTAACATGCGTTGGTTACTCTCTTTCTTATTCGTTGCGGCTGCGCATGCAGATTACATTTTTCAAGTGCGTATGTTTCTGTTAAACAAGTGTATATATGTGAGCAGGTTACTAGCCTTGACCCACTATCGAACTTTTCTGGCATATCGATAACTATTGGAAACGATAACTATTTGTGAAAAAGTTTTATTACGCGCTTTTGCAATTCTGTAATAAAACATTAATAATTTAGTTCTTACTATATATAATATACTATTTTTTTCCGCGTAGAGTTACGATCGGATGTGTGCAAAAAGAGAGATTTTCAAGAAGCCGTCAAATTGTGTCGCAGTTAATAATAAAGACATAGAGTTACGCCGTTTGCTTCCTCGCAAATGATGAGCCGCTGGAAAAAGTGTGTTGCAATAGACAAATTTCTTTTGTTTTTGGTTTCTTCAAATGCAATTGTAAATCGTCGCCGTTGCCTGGGATCTTTTACAGAGCTTATACAAGCCGAGGTGAGGCTCAAACCGCTTGTCATACGCATAGCTTACGCATCCAATTGGAATGGAATGATGCGGCACAAAGACAGGCAAAAAAAAAAAAAAAAAACAAAACGCAGTAAAAAACGACTACGCCAACAACAGCATAATAACAAAAATTGTAAACTACAGTTATTCAACGAGAAGATGAGCGGACACCGTACGGTGCGGCAGGTGTAGTAGTCGCAGAGGGTTAGTTGGAAGGGGAGGGGCATAGACTTATAAAATGCTTAGCAGCATGCATAATTTTTATTGCCCAGACCCATAAATCTTATGGCTTTTGCATTATCTTGCGACATTTGGGATGCGTCTGCAAGATTTTCAAAGTTGTATGCCTTTTATGCCGTACTCAGCTCACTCCCTCCCCCTTACGCCGCAGTCTCTGCTGCCCTAACCACTTTTTCTTTTCGCAGACTAATCGTAATTATGTTGTTGCCGCTAATGATGCAGCTCATCATCGGCGCTGCCGTCAAAGCTGCCAATCGCGCAGCTGATTATGCAATTCCCCACGTAATGCAGCAGCTCCTGAGTTTTTCTTTACCTGTGAAGCCAAACATTTGTGTGGGTTACATTTTCAAAGGGTTTCTCTGGTTTTTGCTTAAGCTGCTTTATTCTCTAGAGTTTCGCTTAGCTTATAAACTAAATCTGTAAATCAGGCAGACAGTCGTAGGTCTTCGATAAGTTGACTAAAGGAAACGGTGAAATGGTTGCTTGCTTTGTCTGATTCTTGAATACATTTTTATGCAAGAAAGGCTGTCTTCGGCACGCCGAAGATTTAATACCCTTGCAGACCCAACCTTAATGCTTATAGAGCTTTGCCCGTATCTAAGAATCACAGGGAAAATAGTAGTTAAATTTCAATACAGCAACTTAATTACCGACCGATCGTTCCTATGGCAGCTATATGATTTAGTGGTCCGATCCAGCTGGCTCCGACATACATATGTACTGCGTGCAACAGAAAGAGGCATTTCTGCAAAGTCTCATAACGATGGCTTTAAAACTGAGAGACATGTCTATATCGACTCGGCCGTTGATACTGATCAAGAATATATATATGTACTTTATAGGGTCGGAGATGTCTCCCTCTATCCGTTACACATTTCACGACAAAATTATAATACCCTCTGCAAGGGTATAAAAATACTTTTTTATAGATAGTACAACATAAGGCTTGTATTTCGCATATTACAATTTACATTAGCTTTTACATTAAACTTCGGAAGTCTATTTGCATTTGTAAATAATACACGATCTTTTTTTTAGTTTTTATTCAGCTGGAACCTTTCCTGCGTAGTTTGGAGCTTCTCACAGAAAGCTAACCTATCCCAAGCGAGTTAAAGACCTTATAGGTCAGCGTTCGGTGACTTCTCGTGCATCTGCTTCTGTAACAAACATTTTTCACACAAAAGATATTTTTCTGAAGATTTTTCTTCGGCTTTCGACATAAAGTTTCCCTCACATTTGTTGCTTTTTTTTTTGACAAATTGCGCAGCTGGTGAAAACATCAATCAATCAATCATCAATCAAGTGCCCACAAGCATTGGCACTGTAATCAGCCAAACATCCCAGACTCTGCCTGTAAAGACAGACAATGAACTCCCAACCGAAAGGGTTCCATCATTTCGTGTCATATTTCAGTTTTTTTAGTTGTGGAACGTTTGAAACATGTTAATTTCATGGCTTGGCGTATTCAGTCTCGCATGCAAAGCGCTTTCATTTCTCTTCTCGTTTCCCTTCCTCTTCCCCTTCACAATGCCAGGCCCTTTCAATGGACGCTACGCATGCGCCCCGGCTAATACACCTGAGCAGGTGTGCAACTGTTCGTTGTTGTGGTTGTCACATGCCAACACGAGACACACATTAGCGGTGTGCGCTGTGGTTGTCGACTGTGGGTTGCCCGTGTGTGATTGAAGGTGTCAATGGATTGACATTTTGAGAGTTGCTGTTTCTTCAAATTGAGCGATAGATCAGCAAATCAACAAAAACGGTGGCCATGCTCAACACAAAAGACAATTAATCTTACGATTTTTGATTGTTTCTGATGTACTTTTTGTGCTGAGTTGAGTGAAATTGGTTTTAATGATTGGCGGTTGGGATTTTCATGAGGTCGCACGAATTAGCCGATTGGCTGTGTATAAAAGATATTGCTCAAAGATATCTATATGTATGTCAATTAAAGTAAGATGAGTAATTGATTTATTTGTTTCCATTCTAATTTGTTTTATTTATTGTCTATTTGCAGTGGTACGAAAATTACGTTGGGTCTTGTCGTTCGAGGCAATGTGAGTTTTTATTCGTAATTAACATCTCTTGTTATGGTATTAATTATTGTTTTTTTTTAGATTTCGTATCGTTTTGATGGCTTACGAAAAGGTGATTTAAATTATGTTATATAAGGTAATCCATATAGATGTACTTGCTTTATATATCCAAATTATTGTTACTCTTATATTTGCCAATGGTCTGGCTTTTCAAAGCTTACGCTCTTATAAAGGTCAACAAAAAGGCAGGCAAGGTCGTTAAGTATTGCATCGAAAAATAGCTTTCGTAGCCTCTTCTGTAAAATCTTGTTAATCTTGCAAGTCTAGTCGATAAATAACTCTATATATATGGACAACAAAGAAAGTGCCAACACAGAAAGTAAACCTGATTCATGTTCAATGTGCCTGGATAGTTTTTTATTACGAAAGCGTTGCATATTAGAGCTGTCA